CCATTGGCCAGACATGACGACATGACCACACCTTGCTGCAAGGGAAGCTGGGAAATGCAACTTCCTGTGTACCTGGGCAGAGGAAAATAAAATGAGATGTGGCTGATTTATAACACTGTCTGTGTCACAACTGAGAATGCGAGGCCAGGAGACTGGATTGGATCCAAAATGTACTACACCTGTGATTGTCAAATGTGAATGTACGTAAAATGAAGGACACACAAACAAAATATTACAACTTCTATGTGTTGTGTTATTTTAATCCAACAAAAAGAAAAAACACATACATAAGCAACACATATATGCAGTAATACCCACATGTAAATAACATACTCACTACATAAAATGGCTTCATATCACAATACATGAAGTACCCTGACAAAAGAGTAGGAGCTCTGTGACCTGAAAGAGTGGGACAGATGCCAACAGCTGCTTACCAGGTTTTGCTACATTGTCAGGTAGTGTAGTTTCTGTGCATCTGGGTGGGGTAGATTACATTACCTAGCATTAATAAAAAATAAGCCTGGGGTGCCTGGGTAGCTCAGTCACATGAGCCTGAGACTCTTGATTTCAGCTCAGGTCATGACCGCGGTGTCGTGGGATCGAGCCCTGCATCAGGCTCTACACCGAGCATGAAGCCTGGCTACGATTCTCTCTCTCTCTCCCTGTGCTCCTCTCCCCCACTCACACATACTCTCTCTCTAAATAAATTAAATAAATAAACAAACAAACAAATAATAAATAAATAAGCCTGGCGAAAATGGATAACTGGCTTTAAAAGACTCCTGCAAAAGCCAAAAATAGAACATAATAACTAAAACACTAAAATGAACGAAGTAAAAATAGTAGGGCTCATGCTTCTGCTTCCCAACTGTATTATGAAATGAAAACAACTATCTAATCAGACAAAGTCCATAAAAACAAAGCAGTTAGCAATTATTTGAAAAACGGATTTATATTCACTGGCGTTAATGATGAACCTAATCCTGAATGTATATTGTGTCTGGAGATCATTAGTTATCAATGGTATGGGGCCGAGATCATTAGTTATCGATGGTATGGAGCCAATATGAGATTTCAAAACAAACTATCTAGAGCATGAAGACAAGCTTCTATAGACAAATTTTTCTCAGTAATACTCAATCCAGTAGTTAAACAAAATTTTAGTAAATTTAAAGATAAATGCTCAGGGGCGCCTGGGTGGCTCAGTCGGTTAAGCGTCCAACTTCAGCTCAGGTCACGATCTTGCGGTCCGTGAGTTCAAGCCCTGCGTTAGGCTCTGGGCTGACGGCTCAGAGCCTGGAGCCCGCTTCTGATTCTGTGTCTCCCTCTCTCTCTGCCCCTCCCCCGTTCATGCTCTGTCTCTGTCTCAAAAATAAATAAACGTTAAAAAAAATTAAAAAAAAAAGATAAATGCTCATGAGGTCCTTGTGAGATTTGTTAATCACAAGACGGACACCCCAAAACCCACTGAGAAAATCCTTGTTTTTCTTATTATAATAAAAATGACTAAAGTACTATTCGTTCATTCATCTATCCATTGAATTAATAAGTAGTGATTGAAGTCTGCTAGGTGGTAGGTACGGCTCTGGGCGCCAAGAATAGAAAGGTTACACAAATCAGGAAAAATGCACTGCTCTCCTGGAGCTGACATTTTAGAGCACTGGTTCTCAACGGGGGCAGAGATTCTGCCCTCTGAAGGCAGTTCGGCAATGTCGTTTTTGCTTTCACAACTAGGAGGGGGGTGCTGTTGGCATCGAGCAGCTGGGGGCCAGGGCCGCTGCTAAAGATGCTGCAGTGCACGGGACAGACGCCCACCACAGAGCGTTATCCTGCCCAGAGAGTCGGCAGCGCCGAGGCTGAGAAACCGCCAAGGCCCAATTTCATAAGGCGTGTAACATACCGTAGAATCTTCGCAGTGCTCTAAAAATGAGACGGAAAGTGATCCTAAAACTGGCGGATCACACCACAGTTTGCCGGACGACTGGCAAGCAAGTAATTTGAGCATCTGTCACATGGAAAGATGAGCTGCACATCTTTCTTTTACAAAACGATGTGTTCCAGATTTTGTGCCCACTTCTACAAGTGGCCGTCAGTAATGCACACTTAATTAAAAAAACATTTTGTCTTTTAAAGGCAAAAGTGATGTTTTTCACATTGGCCAAGAAAGTGATTGCTTTTGAAAGAAACGTGTGCTTTGAAAGTTCATTTTGGAAACCACTACTCGGAAATGTCTGCATCACTATGTGATTTGTTCCCCCCAGTGATGTAAGTGTGACCTAGGAAAACTCTTTTATTTACACGCTTACAAAGCCTGAACACAAAATGTTCTAACCCATTTGAAAATCTTCTTCTAAATATTAAAGTATAGTTGAAACATAATGTTATATTAGCTTCAGGTGCACAACATAGCGACCTGGCCAGTCTGTTATGCTGGGGTCACCACAACGCCATTAGGATACCATCAACTATACTCCCGGGGCTGAACCTTTCATCCCCTTGACTTACTCGTTCTGTAACTGGAAGCCTGTACCCCCGACTCCCCTTCACTCATTTTGCCCATCCCCTCACCCCTTCAAACATTTTTGGCAAGTTTCGAACTCAATTAGTTTAAAAGCACAAGTGAATGACACCAAGGCAGTCAGAGGTTCCAGGGGTCAAACTAACACCTTCTTCCCCTAACTGGTGGCTGGAACTGACATAAATAAATATCAGGGCGGTATCGTGGACTTGCAGTCAGAGGTGCCAGACACGCAACTGCCTAGGGTCCTCGCCACTGGCCGTGCCCACATAGCTCGTCCTCGCAGGACAGCTGCATGTGAGCAGTGGAGAGCGGCCGACAGCCAGCAGCCCTGCCGCAGCCCTGGAAGAAGCTACGAATAGTGCCTGTCCCAGGCAGAAGGCTCCCACCCTCACGATTACTCCAACAATCAGCAACAGGCACAGCGGCCTCGGAAACTTCCATGCCCAGGCTCCGTGCTCACACCCTCCTGATTCCAGACAGGGCTTCCACTCAGACCCTCCTACTGATGGGGAACAGTCCCCCCAGCCCACTCAGCCAGCCCAGCCCTGCAAAACATCTCAAGGTCCTAAAAAGGCCAAGAGGACCTCCAAATCGCCACTACGGCCTGGTGTCCGAGTTCAGGGCTTCGGTGGCACAGGCCACATCTGCCATGTGGCTGCTCCTTAAAGACAGACCTCCAGTGGTCAGGCAGTCCAGAAGCAGCCCTTTAATGCCCCCTGGACTATCTACACACCCAAATCCCCATACTGAAGCCCACCCCCAAAGAAGATGCTCTTGACTTCACAGATTCAGCTCTACTGGCTCTAATTCGCAACAAGTTCCCCGTCAATGGCAAGAACTACTACTGGCTCTCAAAAGCCACCCAGATTCTGCACAGCTCATCTTTGTCACCAACCACTTCCTGGCTCGTAGGCTTGTGTCTTCATCTGGAGGCCCACTCTCAACTCCCAACCCCCAAAGGTCGCAGCTAAAGGCTTCACAACTGGGAGAGGTCACTGAGGTCATGCCAGGAAGCAAGCCCGACTGAATACCTCATCCCTCAAGGCCATCTGCATCACCTCGCAGCAAACCAAGCAGGCAGCAGATCACCGACATCCAAGCCATCATTGTGCGTGTGTTCAAGGGGCAGCTCTATCCACCCTGTGAGTGACTGGAGGGTCACCTGTCACACCCTGCCCTTGCCCTCCTTGCCACAGCCCCAACATTTCTCGACGCCTAATGCTCATCACTGTCCCTGGGAGAGCCACCGAACAGTGACCATATCAAAGTATTTGTTCTGAATCCCTGAAGCACGAAACAAACTCAGGACAACCCAGTCAGTTGGAGAAAGACGCTTCCGAAAGGAACTTAGATTCTGCTGCCGGATGACCAGCCTCCAGCCCTGCCAATGCCCAGGGCACGAATCGCCTTGGGCTGGTGCTGCTGCGAACCGCATAGTCACCCAGCTTCGTGGCCTGAAGACAGAACCAACAGATCTGCTCTTGGGGGAAAGAAAAGCATAATGAAGTTGCAATTTCTAATTTTGTTTTTTTTTTTTTTTTTAAGAAAGAAGGAAAATAGTGACGCTTTTGCACTAACTCAATGCCCTCATATTTTGCACAGTTGAAGACAGGCTAAGATATTCTGGATGTCCTGATGCACATGAATCCATACCACGGACTTGAAATTTTCTATGAAACCGTGGGATCAAGGAACATTTTGCTAGATTTTTTTAGTTCCCGGCCCAGTCTTGCCCTTGCTCACCTGGATATGACATGGCTCTTCTAACTCCTCCAGTCGTCATTTTTTTTTTTAATTTTTCTTTCTTTTAGAGAGAGAGAGAATGTGAGAGCATAAATGGGGAAGAGGGACAGAGAGAGACAGAGAGAGAATCTTAAGCAGTGTCTACACTCAGACATGGGGCTCAATCCCATGACCCTGGGATCATGACCTGAGATGAAAACAACAGTTGTACATTCAAACAACTAAGCCACCCAGGTGCCCCCTCCAATCATCATCTTTGATTTGCTGGAAACACGTGGTTTACAGTTGAAAGGCAGCAAAGGAGGAAAAAGTATTATTTTCCTTTCTTGGTGACATATGCAGAACTTTCGAGATATTATAACTGACTTGAAAATAATCAAGTTTTGGGGTGCCTGGTGGCTCAGTCGGTTAAGCGTCCAGCTTCAGCTCAGGTCATGATCTCACAGTTCATGGGTTCGAGTCCCATGTCAGGCTCTGTGCTATCAGCACAGAGCCTGGAGCCTGCTTTGGATTCTGTGTCTCTCTCTCTGCCCCTCCCTTGCTCATGCTCTGTCTTTCTGTCTCCTCCCTCTCTTTGTCTCTCTCTCTCTGAAAAATAAATTGACGTTAAAAAAAATTTTATAAAAAAAAAATAAATAAATAATCGAGTTTCCCGAGCATACACAGTCTGTCCCATAAATGTGTTTTCAGATAACATCTTTTTTGCAACTTCAAACGTGGTGCCACCACTCACCCTTAAGTGCACTTCACTATAGCACAGGTCACTCTCCCCATGATGCGGAAGTGTTACGCAACCCTTGCAGAACAGTCTTCTTCTCGTTGCCTCATGTCTAACTTCCCGGCATTTCACGCGACCTTTGCGACTTTTTTCCTCAGTGCATTTCTGTGTGTCCATTGGATTACAAACACTATTAAGAAATACAAAACCGAGAAATTGGTATGTAGAGTTTCTTTTAAAGTCATCTTGTAAAAGGCATACTAAAATATTTAGAATAAAATTGTACGAGCTTGAGAATTACTTCACCACAATCTAGTCGGGGGAAATGGCGCAGGTACAGATAAAACAAGATGGGTAACGGGGGGTTGGTAACTGTTCAAGTCAGGGTAGGCATACACGGAGGTTTATCGTGTTATGCTCTCCAGTGTTGTGTATATTTTAAGCTCTTCATGATAAAAAGCTTAAAAAGACACAAGTATCATGATTTCAGTACTTGGTTAATAACACACTCCTTCCCTCCCTTTGAACATTTTTTTATGAGACAGCTTTTTGAGTTTTTACAATTATTAAAAACTAGCATCTAAATTAACCGAACAGAATGCCAGAACTTTGCATTTCTTTTGTTTGTTTGTTTTTGGGTTTTTTTTTTTTT